ACGCCCAGAACCGGGTCTAGAATTTCAACCCACGCTTAAGCTCCCAAACTCTCATATCTCCAACTTGACTGGCATCCCGTCATCGCCCCAAGAAAAAAGTTGGGAGCAATGGAGGTAAGTGGCTGTCTAAACCCGAAACCCAAACACACAAACCCTAAACTCCATACCATATTCCAAACCCTCGAAACTCAATATTCCCCAAACCCTGAACCCTAAACCCTAAACCACCCAAAACCCTAAACTCTCTCTTCCCCTAAACCCTAAACCCCCTAAACCCTAAACCCTAAACCCGAAACCCGAAACCCTAAACCCTAAACCCTAAACCCTAAACCCTAAACCCTACACCCTAAACTAAACCCCAACACTAAACTCTATACTATATTGCCTAAACCCTATAAACTCCATATTCCAAACCCTACAGCCTATACACCCTAAACCCCAAACCCCCCAACCCCAAAACCCGAAACTCTCTCTTAGACTCTTCCCTAAACCCTAAACCCTAAACCCTCAACCCTCAACCCTAAACCCTTAACCCTAAACCCTAGACCCTAAACCCTAAACCCTAAACTAAACCCTACCGACTATACCACACTCGGGGCAGGCCCCGGTTTCCGTAGGATCTGGCGGCTTCCTCAGAGGAGCGCAGGATGCCACCTCGGCAGGGTCTCTCATACGGCCCATGTTGACACCGAATGGAACACGGAGCGAATGTGGGTGTTTAGGGTTTAGGGTTTAGGGCTTGGGGTTTAGGGTTTGGGGTTTCGGGTTTAGGGGGTACCTTAATGGGGTCCTTATGATAAGGGAATCCTACGATTAGGGGACTACATTGGGGGTCCCGTTTTTGCGTGTGGCAGATGGTTTGGGGTTGAGGGCTTCTAGGGCTCCTTGAAGAGGAGGAAGACGAACAAGTGAAGCAATTCCACACACACACACACACACTTTGGGTTTAGGGTTTAGGCGGTTTAGGGATATAGGGTTTAGGGTGTAGGATGTAGGATTTAGGGTAGGGGCTCCCCTGGAGATGAGGGTTCTGTGTCTTCATGAGAAGCACACGACACGCCTTGTCGACCTGTGCTCTTATGGCAGGCGTTCTAGGTTGCAACAGCTGCTTGGGGGAGCAACCTGAACGAGGCCAGAGATTTCATGGATTCCTTGCAAGGGTTTACTGGGTGTCTAAGATCTCTCCTAGAAGGCTTATTGAAGCGACCTTGCAGGGGCGTGGGCGTTTTTGAAACTGAGCACCGACGTCAACAGCTTGTGACATCAAGAACAACCGTCCAACGAACGGTTCATGGCGTGAAGGTTGCGGGGTATAGGAGTTTAGCACGTTTGGGTCGCATCCCATCGCAGGGATGCCAGCGAGAGTACCAATCGCGTTCGAACATCGCATTTGCAAACACCTCCTACATCTTGCTGAGCTGTCCTATTCAGTCACCTTGTTCTAAATCTCTTTCAGTAAAACAACCACAGGCTGCGCCACCAGGAGAGAAGTTTGAACCCCTTCTGCTTCCCAGCCCGTGTCTCGTCACCGACCCCCACGACCACAACGCCAAGCACCAGCAGCTCTAAACCCAAAAGCGCAGCAATCACATCCTCACACTCCAACAGCAACTTACTCTGCTACAGCTGCCTCATGGAGGACACGATCGACTACCCACGGCAACCAACACACACGCAATCCATCCGTACGCACAAGAACTTCTTAAGGCCAGTTACAAAGTGCCGCAATCTCAACGAGGAAGAATTCGATCATCCAATACTTGTGAGCTGAGCTTAGGCTACGTACACTTGGAGGTTCCAATGGGTAGTTTTAAGTAGGGTTGCAAGTATGGGAACGACTCGTTATAGCCATACTTAGGGTACTTATAACCCTACTTATAGCTACCCAAAACCTCCAAGCGAGGATCCTTAAGTGTGCAGCCTGGGACGGGCATTCTAAACTGGAACAGGGTTTAGGGTTTAGGGTTTAGGGTGTAGGGTTTAGGGTGTAGGGTTTAGGGTGTAGGGTTTAGGGTTTAGGGTTCAGGGTTTTGCAGCTCTGCGGCTTCTGAAGAAAGTCACGTGCTGGTTGTAGTGCTGGCCAACGAAGAACTGCAGCCGATGATAGAGCCTGGCATGCTCGGGTTTAGGGTTTAGGGTTTAGGGTTTCGGGTTTAGGGTTCAGGGTTTAGGGTTTAGGTTTAGGGTTCGTTCTTTCGCAGGATCTCTGCCTTACCAAACTGGTTTCGGGAGCAACAAGCAGCAAAACATTCTTCCTTGCTGCTACGTGTTCTACCCTGAGCTTTGTACCCACTAAGCCTCTCACGACATCCGGAAACCAACTGCTTGAGGTCCTGGTATCATTCTCGGGGTTAATGAGGTCCCATATACACCGCGTCCCTCCAACAAAGAACGTATTGCAGTCGCCGTCAGAGAGTGTAGCTCTAGGGCTGGGATTGTGTTTGGGATTTAGGGTTTAGGGTTCAGGGTTTAGGGTTAGGGGTGAAACGACAGGGAAAGTGGTACCCCTTCGCCTGAATATGTACCGACAGCCACCCTCATGCATTGCGTAGGCTCACGGCCGAATGCCCACGTTTAACGAGTCCCTTTTCGTGACAAAAAAACTTGAATCAATTGAATGTCTCCCTCGCTTTCGAGGACTCCAACACACCCTGGAACAACAATCTTGCCGGAAAACCCAGAAGAATACCTAACCAAATACCTAAAAACCCCTAAACCCCTAAACCCTAAACCCAAAAACCCTCAAAATCTGAAACCCCCCCTTTCCTGTCAACCCTGGGCCAGGTAGGTCCAAGCGACTTCACGCGCTGCTGAATCTCCAACCGGAGATGGGCCACAGCACCGGTCTGGAAGAGGGCCGCGCTCTGCTTGTGCCTTCGATCCATGGACTGCCGTCATTTAAGGGCCTTAATAATTATTATTACTCTTATAATTATAATAATAGTAATAATACTTGAACAATAACAATAACAACAATATTAATAGTAATAATAATAATAATAGTAATGATTATGGAATAGGGCCTTCTTTTGGGGGGTAGAGAGGGAGAGAGGGATCTTATAATATAGTAGAACTGTATAGGGACTGTGAGGGAGGGTGTTGGTATGTACTGCGACCGCTAGATATTACGTCTTGGCTCCGGGAAACTTAGCAGGCTAGAAAACTCTGAGGCTTTCTGGTTTTGATAGCCCAAAGGTCCTGCATGTCGGTAAGTTTCCTGAACCCTCACCCCTAACCCCTAACCCCTAAACCCTAAACCCTAAACCCTGAACCCTAAACCCCTCGTTCAGCAGCTGGGGCTCGGTGCCTGGTTCTGGCCTTCGGATGTCTTTGCCGGTGCCAGGAAGGGTGGGGCGTTGGGGCTGTTGCCGAAACTTCCTAAATCCTATAAACCCTAAACCCTAAACTCTATCAACTTCTTATAAGGAGACTCGAGTCCTCCACCTTTCCCATCCTCTGCTGCAGATCAGCTCTCTCCCAAGAGAATAATACGCTGCAAACCTACGCAGCGCCCAAATTCTCAGAAAGTTGCAAAAGCAAGCTCCCCTCTTAAGCGGCTCACAATCCTCAGTTCGCGCCCAGATGCCCCGCCAAAATGACATCAAACATGTTGGATGCGTCGCACGGGAGCTTCTTACCTGGACGTTAGCCGATGATTCGGGCTTCATCGGACTTCCCTGGGTTCCTTTTGGGGTTCCTTTCTGGGCTCCTTGCTGGGGTTGAGGGCTTTCCCTGCAAGACGGAGGTCTCTCTGACTCATAGCGTTCGCAACGCAGAGTGTTGAGCAAGGTCGGGGTGTTTGAGTACACAACGGCGTTTCCACGAAGTACCTGAGGCTGGAGAGCAGATCTGATCGTTGGACAAGGGCCTTCCGCGCGGTAAGACAAACACTGTGTCGAAGAGAAGGGTCGACAAGCTTAGGCTTGGACGCCTCATTGCTGTTGCGGAAAGCACGGGGTCCTTCTCCTACATCTTTGGTGTCTTTGCTGTTCTCACTTAGCAGGGACAAGCAGGACAGAAGGGCATCAACAAGTCGGTACATAATTACTCCGCACTCGTCTGCAGTCCAGATCGTATTGTGTCTCCTATCCGGAGTGTGATGGCTTCAACTGCTGCTGCCGGCTGAAGGGCCCTGCTCCGCCCAAGGGAGAATTCCAAAATTCACGTAGAAACTGTTACTACTTCTACTACTCCTCCTCCGAATACATGGGTTTCAAGAACTGTATACGCCGTGAGCTATATACTAAGTGTCCTGCCTAAAACCAAGCTTGCGACAAGAAAACAAGAAGGATTCAAACTCTGCTAGTAATGATGGACAGGGTCGAACCACAAAGAAGCCCATGTCACATGGCAACCCGAATCAAGGGCCTCAAATGCCTTTGGAAAAAACACTGCTCCCCAGTTGCACACACCACGCCAAACCTTCTCCAACTGACTTCCCGTCGCATGCATGGATGAGTTCCTCGGCGCAGAGCGTGAGGGTTGCGGGGGCTGCGTTCAAGCCTGTTGGACCCAATACACCTCAATTAAAGAACATACCTTAAGTCATAGTAAGGACCCCTTTCAAATTTAATGTATATTCCTTTTCTGTGGGTACTGGGCTCTTTGGGCTTGTTCCACAGTGCAGAGTCTACAGTTGAGGAGGGTTTCGGGGTTCTACTTCGTTGCGGTGGAAGGGCGTAAAAAGTATTTCTGGAGGTGCTCCTGGGAGAGAGGTTCCCTATGGCTACCACTTAGTGCTTGGCATCCATGCACAAGTTGTGAAGGACCCTGCGATCGATGATCTCCGTATATAAAAATTCGCGTTGGACAGGGGGATTCTCTCGAAAAAAGAAGGGTGGTCTTCGCAACGATGTAGGTTGTTGCTGGTGACTGCACTTCTGGAGTGACATAGGGTTTAGACCGGGCTACTGACTAGCCATGCGTTTTGACTGGCACGCAGTCTTCCGCAATATACACTTATGTATATGTGGTCACATAAATAGTTGTGCTAGCAGTAGTCATGAGTTTTCGCGAAGCTTGCGCTTTCGAATTCCGGACAGCTGCTTCCATACCGCGACGGTGTCCGGCTTCCTTTCTGCATCTGGCAAGACGATGTAGTCATCACCAAGCAGTTTCCGAAGACGTTGATCACGCTCAGCGGTTGCAGAATCTTTGAGAAGCTGCAGGATATCATCGGCCACGTGATCCATCCCTGCACCACTTTCCAAGACAAGCCAAAAGCTCTTGAGAACCCGGAGAAGAACCACTCTGAAGCCATTGCAGCTGCGAGCCAGGTCCACGATTTCTGGCCACATGTGGTCAACAGGATCCATGAATATGAAGAGGGAATTGGGCGCAGCAGCTTTGAAAAGTGCCGGCAGGACTCCATAGTTACTACTCCGAAGAGCCAGGGCATTCTCATGAATCACATAGGAGAACAGGAAGATATCCACTTCTGATGGCTCGGGTAAACCCTTCCCTTGCAGGGCAGTCAGCATGTCCCCAGTGTGAAATGAGATGGCACTCTTCGCCAGGTGCTTTTGGAAAGCTTCTGCAGCCGCCTGCCAGCCAGGCTCCAAATCCAAGACATGATACTGGATCTCAACATCCCAAGCAAAATGCTGCGCGAAGATGTCGAGGCCCAAAGCCGCAGATCCTGGGCCACCACCAATGTCAAGGACGAGACAACGCCGTTCTTTGAAGAGACATTCCCTTGCTCCATCCAATTCGGGACAAAGCAAAATGCGGGGCAGATACCATGATCCTAGGATGGCCAGTTAAGAACCCTCTGAAACATAATCCCTAAATAATATGATTCTCTGAAACATATTTCCCAAATATGATTCTCTTAAACCCAATTTTAGGGTTCGGGGTTTAGGTCGCATGATCAGGGAAGATGAAAAGAATCCCTTAAAGAGGCCTACCGAGGATCGCAAGAGGCCTTGCCGCTCAACGTAGAGCCAGCGTGCTCCTGCGTCGCTGAAATCGGGTGCCTTGCCACTGCGCTGGCTCTCCAACAGTGCCGCGTGAAGTGCCTTGTAGTTGGCAAAAGCGTTCGCGTTCCCCTGGTGCGGGTGAGCACCCAGCAAACCCACAGTGACCAGCCTCCGGTGATGGTCGAACCAAGTTCCGATGCGTTTATTCCTGGTTTGTAGCCTCCAGGAAGGCCAGGGAATGTTCCAATCAGCTGCACATGCTCTGCTTCTTTCCCACTCCTCGTCGCTGGAGACGTGCATCAGCATCTCCGTGAACTTTGGAAGGTCGACTTCAACTTGGCTCTGCCTCAAAGCCTTCAGCAGCGACATCATCCCCTCAGCCTCAGTGGAACTGTCGGGAGCTGCAATGAGGTAGGTGGTCATCTGCGGCTGAAGGCGCTGCTCACCCATCAGGCGCAGCAAAGACAGCGTTGGCGGGAGACCGCCAGATCTGCAGGCCCAAAGGGCAGATTGCAGAAGGGGCATTGTCAGTGAATCATCAACGGATGCTGCCCGGACAACATCTAAAGCCAAAGCCCACTGCTGCATTCGGCTCAGGTCCCGCAGTGTCTCCAGCCATTTTCCTGTCTTCGCTCTCGATGACGGCCCTGCTAGCTTCCGGGCTCCCGCTGGCGACGACGAGCCACATGCAGATGGAGGAAGGAGGACGATGTGTGATGCCAGCAGAAAAGAGACAGCAATCAGCGCGGGCTGCTTTGCCATGACTGCAACACAGAGAGGGAGAGCGAGAGAGATACACGTCTACACAGATATATATATATATATGTATATATGCACGCATGTATAGACACACACTCACACACAGAGACACACGATTGTAGAATCATATGTAGGCTTACATGTTTTCCAGCCGGTGCGGCTGTGCATAGATGCAAACCGTAAACCCTAAACCCTAAACCCTCAACCCTAACCCTAAACCCTAAACCCTAAACCCTAAACAAGGTCACGTGGGGTGAGGATTCGGGACTGAGGTGCCTGGGGGCCGAGGGCCAGTGGACATTGCGTTACAAGAAGATCTTTGGCCTGAAAAATAAGTCCCATCCTTCGGGTTTAGGGTTTAGGGTTTAGGGTTTAGGATTTAGGGTTTAGGGTTTAGAGGGTCAACCCAACTAAACATACACAGCTCTCAACATGAAGAAATGGCTGTCATCATGTAGGGGGCGACCTCCGACCTCTCTTGCATCAACCAGCCAGCTCGCGCCAATTCACTGTAAACCCTAAGCCCCTATAAACCCTAAACCCTAAACCCTATAAACCCTAAACCCTAAACCCTAAACCCTAAACCCTAAACCCTATAAACCCTATAAACCCTATACCCTAAACCCTATAAACCCTAAACCCTTAATTAATGTAAACCCCGCTGCTTCCAAAGAGTGCTTGCATGGGGGCACCCTCAGGGTCTGGTCGGGTCAAAGAATCCAAGGGCTTTTAGGTTCTAACCCTAAACCCTAAACTCTAAACCCTAAACCCTAGTGTGTAGGGATGATGGGCCCCAAGCAGCTTCTAGCTTGAACTTCAGGCACCAGCCCCTCAGGGGTTTTCCTCTGGGATGGGCTTCGACCGGCCCCTCCTTCCCCCAACCCTAAACCCTAAACCCTAAACCCTAAACCCTAAATCCCGAACCCCCAACGTAAAGCCAACCTCCCGAAGACTTTCGGAGCTTGACGGCGGCCAATTTTGGTCCGCCCCAAGGCCCGCTCGTTCGAACCCTAAACCCAAAACCCCTAAACCCTAAAACCCCTAAACCCCAAAAAAAAACCCAAAATCCCCAGAACCCCTAAACCCCTAAACCCCTAAACCCTGAACCCCTAAACCCTAATCCCTAAACCCCTCCACCCCTCATCCAAAAACATAAGTATTATATATATATATATATATTGTATATATATATAATCCCCTGAAGTAATATATATATATATATATGTATATATATATATATATATATTATAACCCCTGAACCCCTAAACCCTTAAAGTAAGACTCAGCCCCAGGTTCGCGCGATGCGCATCCAGGATCTTGTGCGTCGAGGCCGTGGCTTGGCGCAAGGCTGCCGACATGGCCTTAAGGGGACTTTACAGGCTGAGGGTGTTTGTTTAGGTTAGGGTTTAGGGTTTAGGGTTTAGGGTTTAGGGTTTAGGGTTTAGGGTTTAGGGTTTAGGGTTTAGGGTTTAGGGTTTAGGGTTTAGGGTTTAGGGTTTAGGGTTTAGGGTTTAGGGTTTAGGGCTTTTAGGGTTTTCAGGGTTTTTTGAAAATGCTTTTGGGACTTTACAGGCTGAGGGGTTTCAGGGTTTCAGGGGTTTTTGGGGTTTGAAAATTTGGGGATTCCACAGGTTGAGGGGTTTGAGGGTTTTGAGGGTTTTTGGGGTCTGAGGGACTCCACAGGGTTCGGGGTTTCAGGGTTTGGTGGTTTTTAATTGGGGTTTTGGGGTTTGAAAATTTAGGGTTTTCGGGTTTAGGGTTTCAGGGTTTGAGGGTTTGAGGGTTTAGGGTTTTAGGGTTTTTGGGTTTGTGGGTTTTAGGGTTCGAGGTTAGGGTTTAGGGTTGAGGGCTTCGTCCATGGCTCACCCTAAAAAATCCTAAACCCTCAGCGGCTTAGCATTTGAATCCCAACACTCCTAAGACCCTCGAAGCCCTAAATCCTAAACATACTTAGACTCATGTTGATGATGATGATTGCTGTAAGGCAACTTCTCGAGGTTCGTGAAAAACCGATATTTGAGATTCCGTTCCCAGCGTCTAGGGTTCGGAGAGCCTGGGATCATGACTTGATATCCTCCAGGATGGGCTAGTAGGCGCTCTAACCCCCCATAAACAGCCCTGTAAAGGCCCTTTAGCCCCCATAAACAGCCCTATCAAGGCTCCTTTTTTTGAGGGTTCTAAGGTCTTTAGGCCCTATAACCCCTATAAACAGCCCTATGAAGGCCCCTTTTTTGAGGGTTCTAAGGTCTAATCGCCAATCCTGGCTGGGTCCTGGACTGTCTCACACCGACCACGCTTCAAAGCGATGCGTGAACTGGCCGTGGCAACCAGGATGGGCTATTATACCCTATATCCCCTTAAAACGGCCCTTTGTAGGGTTGATTATGGGGATTGTAAGGCCTAACAGCCCATCCCAGAAGGAAATGGCTTTGCCCGTCTCAGCCTAAAACCTCCAAGTCAAAATCCTCAATCCTGCACCCCCAAGCTGAGGAACCCTCCCGAATCTGCAATAAAAGCAACACCTCGATGCGCAGAGCGAGTCGCCAAAGTTTCGGCATGTGCGCTCTTGGCCGACGTTGCTTCAATCTGAATCAGCGCCGGGGCGACAAGTGAGTGCGGGTCGGCTTCGTGCCTGGCATCTTTCTACCGCACCCTATTGAATGGGGATTTGGGGCAAAACCCTAAACCCTCAACCCAAAGCCCTAAACCCTAAGCCCTGAACCCTAAAACCTGGGGGGTCTCGGGTTAGCCTATGCTTGCTCGAAGGTTCAAGGAAGCAGAAAACGGGGCCTCTAAAAACCCTCAAGCCTTCTGGGGTTCAGGGCCTTGCCCCTCAAACCCTATAACCCTTAGGCTCAGGATAGGCCCAACAATCCTCAAATGATATGGCCTTTGGGCCCAAAAAACCCTTAAAGAAGAAATCCTTGGAGCCTTAGGGCTTAGGATTTAGGGTTTAGGGTAAGTGGCATTCCATCGCATCTGTACTGCTCCGGCACCACGATGTCCCGGTGGACTTTGTCGTGGCCCTCGCTGATGAGGCCTGGCAGCTGCTACTTTTATCTACCGGGAGGTCCATGAGCAGCCATGCTACAATGCCACTAAGAGATAAATGAATGTATCAATCAATCTATCTATCTGTATACACATATGCATATATATATATATATATATGCATATATACATATAAATAAACATGTGTATATATATATATAGATATACACAAATGTTTCTATATATGCCTTCCTGCACTGTCATTTGCAACTTTCAGTGCTGTTTTTCATGCTCGTTTATGCTCCTAGTTTTCTCAAGCCACCACTACGACGTCGACTAGGACGTCGACTGCTCCAACCCAGACCCTGCATCCCCAAAGTGCTGCGCAGAGCGAGCAACAGCGCCAGAAGCAGGCCTCTCCAACCCAGTGCAGACGGAAACAGGTCGAGAAACACAACAGCTGAGGAGCATGGCCATCCTCCCCTCAAAACCAAGTGCCGCTATCCAGAACAAACTCGGAAGTCCTTCACTTTGCCACTTGTCTGACATCTCACTGGTTGTTTGTGAAACCCCCCCCCCCCCCCCCCCCCCCCCCCCCCCCTTGCGCCAGGTTTGGCCAGCCCACGTCGTGAAAACGCGCCACTTGCTCCATGATGGCCGAGAAGGCTTCCATGGAGATCTCATTACTTTGTACCTACACTCCCCTTAGAACCTCAATAAAAACAATGTGTTTAATATCCTCTTGGGTTTTATATAATAAACCCTAAACCCTAAACCAATGAACAAAAACAAACAAAAAACAAATTCCCAAGGGGGATATAGGCACGGCCCGCTGAACGATGCACGTTGCCACAGTGAGGCACTCGTCAATGACAGATTCGTTCCTCTGACAGAGGGTTTTGGGGGTTTGGGTTTAGGGTTTAGGGTTTCGCCACCCGCATTGCACGCACATCCAAGCGCCCGCATCCGCTTCGGGTTTAGGGTTTAGGGTTTAGGGTTTAGGGTTTAGGGTTTAGGGTTTAGGGTTTAGGGTTTAGGGTTCAGGGTTTAGGGTTCAGGGTTCAGGGTTTAGGGTTTAGGGTTTATAAGGGTCTTTAAAGCACCCAAGAACACATGACACGACACAAGCTGACCATCTCTTGGGGGCGCCTGACCGAAGGCAGGCAGACATGCTGGAAGCAGAGAACAGTGTGCAAACGAGCGATGTGGGGAAGAAGTCCCACGCTTGCTCTCAAACATTCTGCCCCCTCGCCCTCAAGAAAACCTCAGCCCGAACCCCCAACCCCCCCGCCCACCCCCCCACAAAAAAAAAAAAAAAAAAAACAACCCTGAACCCTAAACCCTCAAAGTCCCCAAATACACCAGAAGCAGAGCAATATCCCCCCTAAAAAAAGCGCCAGGACTCTTGAAAGGGCAGTACTTGGGACCATCTCCCGGATTCATGCGGTCGTGAAGAGCCAGGAGAAAGCCAGAGATCTGGGGGGGGGAAGAGGGATGAGCTGCTGTATCAGTATAGGGATTAAAGATAGCACTTCAGTGATTCAAGAGGTAAGGTTACCACAACAGGGGGGAAATCCGCCGAGACCGAAGGGTTCAGATCCATGGCCGAGTTTTTTTAAACGCGGAATGGGTCCCCCCCCCTCTAGCCGACCTCCGATGCAAACGACGCGCCGGGCTTACCCCCCCACCCCCAACTGCGGCTTCGCGCTAGCGGTTAAACTAGTGCTCGCTCTCTATCAAAGTGCAAAGTATGAAGTCCGCGGACTCGAGAAAAAACCAGGTACCCATTCTGCTATCGGGGTAGGGGGAATGATGGCGGCTTAGGCTTTTGGGCATCGGGCAGTGGACTGTGGTCTAAGGTCCCAGTCGACCTTAGATTCCCAACCCCTCTCAAGCCTAAAAAAGGTCATGACCTCTTCAAGCTTAAGCTTGACAGTAGAGTGCTTTAATGAAACGACGGGCTGGTCGTTTCGGGTCTTCATACCTCCAAGAACCTTGCTTTCAAGCATTCC